CTTAAATACAGAGACATGAGCAAAAATAGGAAAGCAACAAGATTCCTAATGAAGACATCTTCACCGAAGTTGCCTCACTCTTCGGTTTTCGTGGCTTACTGGTAGGCTCAGACGGGGAGATCTGTTCAGCGATTCTTTTCCCTTTCTCGTCTCCACTTAGATAAGCTCCTTGCATGTAGCCGAACCACTCATCGTGTGTCGCTTCGCCAGCAAAGTACAGTCGTCCCAGGTTTTTTCCAATGTTCTTCCAGTCTTCAGAAGTCATACCCACCACTGGCTCTGAAAATGCGCCTTGTGTCAGCGGTTCCTTTGACCAGCGGTGATAGTATATATCTGGGGAAAATACCGTGAAAATACACTAATTTCATGTTGAAAAACACAGCTGTAGAACGTTCAGCATGCGCAAGAAGATCCATCAATTTTGTCTAGCCGTGCATTAATTTTCCGCGCAAAAAAGAAAGCAAAGGGAAAAACCGTTGTCACGCAAAATTTCTTTACAATTTTGCAGTGTAGCTTCACCGAAAAAGTGAAGTGCTTTTTAAACGCCGTAACTTACTTGCTTGTGTGGTATTTAGACTTTTAAGACAACTCGGGACTAATACAGTTTGACTGCCTCTCGGCCGTTTCAGCGTTCGCACTGTGTAATATCTCCAGCCACACTGTCATTGTGCTGACAGTAAAGATTAATTCTTGTTGCAAAAGAGCTGACCTCAGCCAATAAGACTAGCCACCTTCTACCAGTGTAGGCATTTAAGTGTTGTTTTTTTGTCTTATAATCCTGAACTTCTTAGTTTCTATTGAACCAAATACTGTAAAAAAACAGGCAAGCAGTGATTTTGAATGATCACAGACTATAGCCCTTACCCGTAGCTTCAGGGACGCCCTCTCCATAAACCTGCCGCAGTATTTTCATGATCTCTGCCTTTGTTTCATTAAATGATTGCCCCTCAATCCTTCGTCCTTCGGTTCCAGTTACCATAATTTCTAACATTCCGCTGTCAACAGAATATACCCCGGGTCTTGACAGGTCCTGCCACACAGGGAAACGCCCGCGCTCTTTGGAAGCGTACAAAATATATTCGCGATCATCCCAGAACTTTTTTGGAAATTTCAGGTAAATTTTTGTGTATATCGATAATGGGTTTTTATAAATGGCCTCTTTTTTCCAATCTGGAAGGGCTGGCTCGAAAGTAACCAAGTCGCTGGCCAGAACTCCGGAGCTGAATGTACAAAGAGCGTAATCTGCCTGGTAACTCCAACCATCGGAGGTCTGAGCTTCAACCGAATCCGGGTTTAGCTTGATTTTTGTGACAGTTTTGCCCAATAAAGTCTTCTTTTCCAGTGGCTTATACAGATCTTCAAACATAGACCACACTCCTCGCTCATCAGTCACCAAGAACTCTTCTCCAGGAACAAACAAATTGTAGAAAGAAACTTCTTCTGGAGGTTTTGCGAACTCATAGTCTAATTCAAAATATTCAATGGCTCTTTCTATGGGCCGTTTTCCTTCCCATCCCATCAGTTGAAGACCAACGCGGGCAGGCATGTCGGGAAAGTTCTTTGTTCTTCTTTCATCTTGGAAGTCTTCAATTTTGTTTGTCACTTTGTCATCAAACTCATGTAAAACAGCAAAATCGGTGACATCTCTGCCATCTTCGTCCCTACAAAATTCATGAGAAATGACGGTAAAAAGTTCAAAGTATAACCAAATGTCAACGCAAATTTTCATCTCTCTCTGTTTAATGGTCTCCACGAGGAAAAAAAAATTGCAGTGAGTCACTCAGAAACTCTTATAGATTATGGCATTAAAACGTTTGAGTAATTAGTTTGGTAGCTACTTAGTTGGTTAGTTTGCTGGTTTGCCTTGCTTTGTCAGGTATTGTCTTTTAGAGTAGTGCTTCCAGACTCATGACTGGAGCTTACATATTATCCATACACAGTTAAGTTTATCTATTCAATCGTCTCGGAGCGTGGAGCGCGGAGCGTGGAGCGCGGGGCGTGGAGCGCGGGGCGCGGAGCGCGGGGCGCGGGGGACAGCTAGGTGCCGATCAATATCTCAAGTCTTGGGTTCATGTAAAGGGTAAAGAAATCGAGGCTATCAAGCCTTTGATTTACATCTTACTAAGATAAGCAGACGGCTACAGAGTTCTCTTTGTTAAGATGGAAAAAGTTTAGCTTTAATGCTTTGTTGGTTTTCTTTTTTTTACAAGTAATTTTTTTACCTAAAAGCAGTGTAAAATCCTATATCTAGAAAGTCATGTTCGCAATGTTTTTTAAATTAATAGGTTGTCCTTTTTCATAATTCAGTTCCAGCCCTTCCTATTTTGCAATTTTTCTAAAATTTTCAGCTTAATCGAAGTTAAAGCAACCTATCTTACCTCACAATAATGTTTGAATAATTATATTTGTGAACACGAACACCTCTCGCTTCCTTTCGTTCCACCAATGGTTTGGTGTCATCTTCATTCATAAAGTGAATCCAGTTTGCTCCCGTTTCAATCGTGTAGTTTGCAAATTTCACAGCATGTATTCTACCCCCAGTGTAATTCATCCCTTCCAGAATCAGAATGTCGGTGATGTTTCTGTCCAGTAGCGTTTTCGCTGCTTTAATTCCAGCGAGTCCAGCGCCAAGAATAAGGACTTTAGTTTTGCTTTGTTTTATTGGTGAAGACAAAGATCTGTCCACCAGAAACAGAAAACTCACAAGCAGGATGATCTTAATCATGATGTACATTCTGTAAATGAACAAAGAAACTGATGATCAAAAGAGGATAAATAGCTCCTGAGGATTATTAAACTGGAGAAATATCCTCCTATCACAATTCCGGAAAGAAATGTAGCATGTATTTTCTCTGCGTCACGAGGTTGCTTAAGCGTTGTCTATTTGGTGTTTTATTTTGTTTACAAAGTATGTTAATTATATTCTGGACATTTCTATACCAAAGTCTGATTCTCTTTTGAAGTTTTAAAGAACCTTTCAGTGGCATTTTGATTAAAATTTCTGACTGCCGGCAATTTAGTCCATTCAAGACCGAGCAAGGCAATTTGATCAGGGGCGTAGTGACATCAACTGAGCGGTGTTGTAGTATGCACAAGCTTTCTCTTTTAAAAAAGCAAATCAAAGTTTGGAATCGCTTTACTTTTCTAATTAAACATCTAATATTCTTAAGAAGTTTGAAAGAAGGTTTCGGTGGAAATTCTGTCAAAATTTCTGACTGCGGGCCATTTAGTCAAATTGAGACCGTTCCCGGCTGCCGGGCATTTAGTCGTAGCGAGTTTTTTATGCCTGCTCAACCCCTGACAATGGGTCCTGCGCAGAGGTCAAAACTTAATTGGCTTTCACTGTTGAGAGTCCTTATGGCAAAATATTTCCACTCCTGACAGACTGTGAGAAAAAATGAAACTCCGAGATTCCGGGAGCATAATGTGGAGGACAAGACTTATGACGCACGCCAAATTTCAGCGAGTTTCGCCTTCTAGAGATGATCAATTTTTGGAGAGTCATTTTTCCATCACCACGACGCATTTTACAGCTTTTCGAAAAGCTCTCTCGAGCGTGATGGGGCGAATGAGTACTCCATGCAAAGAACCGAAACCATAACAAATGCAAATATCTTTTCTGAATTTTCACAAACTTCGATAAACAGCTATTATCAAACTCATGAAAGTGGAAGCAAGGCTGATCTGTAACTTCATCAGAAACTTCCTCTACATCTTTTTTTAGGTTAAAAGTGCATTTTAAAGCTTTTCGAAGCGGCTCTCTCGAGTGTGATGGGGCGAAGGAGTACTTCATGCGTAAAGAACCTAAAACCATAACAAATGCAAATGTATTTTTAACTGTTCTGGATTTTCGCAAACTTCGATTAACAGCTAATATCAAACTAATGAAAAGTGGAAATAAGACTGATATGTAACTCCATGAGGAACTTCCGCTTAATCTTTTATAGGTTAAAACTAAATATACCCCAAAAGCATTGATTTCAACACATTCGTTACTGACCCACCTAAGGCGCCGACCTTTACGTGATCTGATCGAGATAGTTTTCTGTCGTAGCATAACAACATGAAAATAGTATGATTGTGTTAATGCTTCAACCAACTTTTGTACCTTACTCACAATAGTCTCATCCGTAGCGGGTTTGATTCATCACCTGAGTTTTTCACTGGACGAACTGACCGACCTTAAGTGTGTTTTTAATCAAAACATGTTTTGTGCGTGGTCACTTATTGACCTCCATTTGATTTACATTAGAGCTTCACTCAATCAAGAGGACCTCGAGTCCCCCAAGCCAGCCACATTTGTCGACTTAGCTTCTTATCCAGAACTCAGTGATCAACAAGATTTCGTACGCCTAGACGTCTAAAATTTTGTGAATTTACGCTTTGATGTTTTTAAACGCATAACAGCGAAACCACCCCAAAGTCCGTAAGCTTTTGCATATAAATCCGTATAAGTATTTTAATTCTTTCAGGAGAAGAGAGATATAAGTAAGGGCAAAGCATAATTTACTTACTTTAGTTTGACGCGTCTCGATCTTTCAAATTTTCTTCTCTAAGTTTGCGATGTTTTCATGCAGATCATTCTGAAAATTATGCAAATTACGTAAGACACTCATCGAGGTAAGTGCAAAACTTGGCATGTTTAAGGTTTAGGAAAGCGTTACCTTCGTGGGTCCGGCGTCGCGGGTGAAAATTTGCGCGAGCAAAAAGAGGAAAATCGCAATATAATTAGCGTTTTAGCCTCCATTTGGTGCAAAAATATTTTTGGATATATGTCTACGACAATATTTGTTTTGAGAGGCAAATAGTTCACCGAGAAGAAAACGGTAAGCCTCGAGACAACTTTTTCTTCAAAGTTGATACAGGAATATATCTATCACAGGCTTTTTAATAGGAAGGATTTTGTAAAATGAACCTGTGTGATGGAATTGCAAAAGGCGTTTACTTTTATTCTACTTCAATGTCTGCTTAGTTACTTTCGAATTTAACTGCACCAGAGTACACTACTACATCTAGTGGTTCCTCTATGCAACACGAATGTTTCATCAAAGTTACAGTTATGTCACTCTATCAGTCAATAAGGGCTGCTCTAGGGCTATCAAGGTTAATAACAAATCTCTTGCCGGCTTGATGAATTGTTTTACTTCCACATGATTATAAACCAAAGAGGGAGCAACAAGATTCCTACTGAAGACACTTTGGTGGGGTTGCCTCACTCTTTGGTTTTCCCGGTTTTCTGGAAGATTCACTTGGAGAGATGTTCTCAGCGATCATGTTCCCTTTCTTGTCACCGGTCAGGTAAGCACCTTGCATATAGCCGCACCAGTCTTCGCTCGTCGCTTCGCCAGCAAAGTACAGACGTCCCAGGTTTTTTCCAATGTTCTCCCAGTCTTCAGAAGTCATACCCACCACTGGTTCTGCATATGCACCTTGCGTCAGCGGCTCCTTTGACCATCGCCGATAATAGATATCTGAAGAAAATATACAATAGTTATGTCAAGGAGAGTACTTGCATCATGATGTGGGAGACCCGCAGACTCTAATGGTAAATATCTTTGTGCAGTGAATAAAACTAGCCAGAACTCAGTCTTTTAGGGTGACATTCCGATTGGTTCGTCTTTTCTTGCTTGTTTTCAGTCTAGTTTAGTAATAATCAAGGTTTTCAAGGCCACAATTTCGTGTCTTAATTTTGTTGCTTTCTGTAGGGATAATTATCGGCAAAGGAAGAGACATACATTTATTGAAACTATCACGAAATTATCTCCCCACCTGACAATATTTTTTTTGACTACGTTCAGAATGAACGATATGATATGCTGATTTCTGGTTAAAAGGAACCCTGCAAAGCTGAACTATTGCCCTTTACCTGTCGCTTCAGGGATGCCATTCCCGTAGATCTCTCTCAACATTCCCATGATCTCCGCCTTTGTTTCATCAAATGATTGCCCCTCAATCCTTCGTCCTTGAGTCCCTGTCACAGTAATCAGTAACATCCCACTCGAAACGGGAAAGATCCCAGGTCTTGACAGGTCCTGCCACACAGGGAAACGTCCGCGCTCTTTGGAAGCGTACAGAATATATTCGTGATCATCCCAGAACTTTTTTGGAAATTTTAGAAAAATTTTTGTGTAAGGCGACATCGGGTTTTTATAAATGGCCTCTTTTTTCCAATCAGGAAGGGCTGGCTCGAAAGTAACCAAGTTGCTGGCCAGAACTCCGGAGCTAAATGTACAAAGGGCATAATCTGCCTGGTAACTCCATCCATCGGAGGTTTGTACTTCAACGGAATCCACATTATGCTTGATCTTTGTGATTAATTTGCTCAGCAAAGTCTTCGCTTCCAATGGCTTGTAAAGGTCTTCGTACATGGACCATACTCCTCGCCCATCAGCGATGAAAAAGTCTTTTCCGCGCTCAAACATGTTGTAAAAGGAAACCTCCTCTGGAGGCCTCGCAACCTCGAAATCGAAGTTGAAATATTCAATAACGCTTTTTATGGGTTGTTCAGCTGACCATCCCATCATCTGCATACCAACACGGGCGGGGAAGTCTGGCTGGCCCTTCCTTTTTAGTTGGTAGTCTTCAATTTTGTGCTCGATTTTGTCATAAAACTCACGCAGAACTGCAAAATCAGTGATATCGTTTCCTGCTTCGTCTCTACAAAAAATAAAAACAATTGTAGGTTTGCAAGAGCAACAACTTTTGAACGTTTTATCGGCGTACCTTGGAGGGATACTCATCTCAAAATGGATATTCGAATTCAGTTTC